TCCCGCCGGCCTCCGCTTCCTCCGGATCGAGTTCGACGCGGGCTCGCGCCAGCCCTGTGAGCGCACAGTTAGTTTAAACGCTGGCTCCGCCCCCTCGCACGGAGCTCTGATAGGCTCCGGGGGCTGGTGTGCTCGCCGGGGCACGCTAGAGGACCCGGGAAAAGGAAGTGTGAGGGCCACTGGGAAAAAAGAAGGGGTGTCACCACTACCGGCCCCCGGCCCCGACTTGAGGGCAAAGACTACAAATCCCAACACATTCGCGGCCTTGGAGCCCCGCCCCTAACAAACTACATCTCCCGGTAGGCATTGCGGCAGTGCTTTCGGCGCCAGGCCGAGGTGTGGTGGCTTAGGTAGTTACCATGGAGTTGCGCTGGGTAACCCTGAGGTAGTGAGTGGGACGCGGAGGCTGGAGGGGCAGCAGCTGCGGGTGAGTCGGGCGGGAAAACGGGAAAATGGAGAGGGGAGGGGCACTTTCTTTCTCCGGGACCTGAGACACCCCTCTCCCCGCCAAACAAAAACAAAAAAAACTTTCTATCACAGTGAACATGACACAACACCCATATGGGGTAGACGAGTTCCGGGGTGCTTAAGAACCTCCCCATCACGAACACGGGGCTCCCTGGTACCCTGGGAGATATGGACACCCTGACATAAGGTTGGTTTTCCTGATGAACTGAGACCCAGGGTCTTCCAGACGCGGGAGTAACATTAGAGTAAATCACGGGCCCTAATACTGGAGACGTAAGAAACTTTATGGGCTTGCACTGCCCCTTTCCTTCCAAGCAGGAAGACCCCGGGGGAGAGCCTTCGTCTCAGTCTGAGCAGGATCTTTCCGCACACTTAGGGCTCCTGTCCCCAAGTTCCCGCTTCCCCCTACACCTCCTCTATGATCTGTTTCTCAAAGCTCTACAGTTAGAGCTTCATTCCTTTTACAGTCTTCATGACCGATCTATTGCATTTAGTAATTTACCCAGCGCTTTCATATCCAGTGTCTCTTTTGAGCTTTGTGAATCAAGGATTTTTATCCCCATTTCACAGATTGGAAAACTGAAACCCAAAGAGGCGCAGTGACTTGCCCAAGGCCACATACCAAGTCAGTGACAGCTAGGACTAGACTCCAGTTCACCAACCCCCAGCCAAGTCTCTAACTTGAGCCTACAGCCTCTCTAGTTAAAGGACTTGTTCCAACAAGTGGGAACTGCCCCAGGGAAAAGAAACCTGTCTGGCCTACATTGGATTATTTGCACTTCAGCCTGAATGAGTTTCAGATCCTTCCTTTCAAGTTTAAATGGGAAAGGGAACTAGAGAGATGGACGACAATGGAAATCAAACAGGAACAGGAAACAGTCTGGCTACACAGCACCCATGTCTGATGCTGCCATGATTAGCTGGTTTCTGGCTGGCTTCTAGCTGGCCCTGATTGTCCACTTACTATCTTAAAGTACCTCCAGGCTTGGTCCTAGGTCCACTTCCTACCTCACTCTATATTCCCTTGTTGGGGATGATCATCCACAACTTCATTTACCATCTGTATGTACACAACTGTCTATCTCCAGCCCAGCTCTGATCTCTAAGCTCCAGGTCTGTATAGCCAATTGCCTCTTCAACATCTCCTTCAGGATATGTCAAAGACAACCTAAACTCAACATGTCTGCAACTGGACTCATAATCTCTATGTACTCCAAGCCTCAATTTCTTCCAGTGTTCTCACCCTCTATCCACCGTTACAGAAGCCAAAGAACCAAGATTTAGCCTGAATACCTCTTACATAAAGTCTTGTCAACTTCTCATCACATCCTTCCTGCCTACCCTCCCAGACATTTTGCATACTGCAACCAGAGTAATCCTTTAAAAGTAGAAATTTGATATTGTTCACCTTCCCCATCCCACATTCATTTAAAAAGTTATTATGTGGCATCTTATTACTCTTAGCATCAAGCAACATTTCAGCCTGACTCCTGCCCACCTCTCTAGCCTCCAGTCTAACCATAACTTTTTAAAAACTCTTTATTGTTGAAAGTATTACAAATGTCCCCCTCCCATTGACCCCCTCCAGCCTGCTTAACCATACCTTTTATCCCCTCCAGTTATATGGCCTTTTTAAAAATATTTTTTTAATTGATTTCAGAGAGAAAGGGAGAGGGAGAGAGAAACATCAATGATGAGAATTATTGATTGGCTGCCTCCTGCACTCCCCACACTGGGGATCGAGCCCACAAGCCAGGCATATGCCCTGACCAGGAATCAAACCGTGACCTCCTGGTTCATAGGTGGACACTCAATCACTGAGCCATGCTGGCTGGGTTATAAGGCCTTTTTAAGGTCTTCAAAATTTCCAAGTAACCTCTCACCATAGAACCTGTTATTTCTGCCTGGAATGTTCATCCCCCCACCCATCTCCCTGTTAATTTGTGCTTATCCTCAATTTCATCTCTCAATCACTTCTTTTAAAATGTCTTCCCTTAAAATAAAAAAATAATTAAAATAATTGTTAAAGATAAAAATGTCTTCCCTGACTGCTCAGCAGGTCAGATTCCTCAGTTATAGTAACCTCATGTTCCTCTCCTTTATAGTATTGCTCTGTAGCAATTTTTAATGTATATGTTAAGCACCTACTACTTGCCACCAGGTAGGAAAACCATTATGAGAAAAACATGGTTCCTGCCCTGGAGGTCACGGTGGAGTTTACATATAGATAGTAAGCAGATCATCTTAGTGATATGTGTGCTACCATGGCAGCAAGTATGGGGTATTTTGGGAGCTCTGAAGAGAAGTTCCACATCCAAGATTTGGGCATAAGATTAGGCGCCTTAGAACACATGAAAACTGAGCTGGGTCGTGAATTAGCCAGGCAAAAGGAGGAAGAAACTGTATTCCAAACAGAACTAAAAGTAATAGGGCAAAAGGGATGGAGCAGGGGAGACCATACATAGGAATCATCAAGGGAATCAATCAATTTTACCAGGAAAGAGTGTTCACCAAAGAGGATTCCCTAGAGCTGAGTATTGAAACAGGAGAATATTCACTAAGTGGGCAACTGTTTCTTAGAACTGGATACTGACCATTTTGCCACAATCAGTAGAGACCCAGCAGGTCTTTCTGTGCTCGTGACAGACAGGGTTCTATTATTTGTATCTTGGCTTCATGTCTTCTGGTCAGGCACAGGGCAGCAGGCACTCAACAAATGTTTGCAGAATTGAATTGAATACCTTACTGCGAATGAGGTGTGGACTGAAACAGCTGAACCTCAAAGCCAATTGTTAGAATAAGCAGCTTAGTATCAACACTCCTAAAACAGAGATCCTGTATTTGGCAGTTTCCCATTCATTCATCTCACAGATATTTCCTGAGTACCTGTTGTAATAAACCAGGTTCTGTGATACTAGCTCACAGCCTGGACTACTGTTTAAATGGAGAAGGTTAATAACCCTTTCCAACTGGCAAGTTTATCCGAATACTTGGGGCTCCATTTTTAATACTAACTCACCCAGAAATATGCATCAGAGGCCAGTACTACACTAAATCAGAAGTTCTTAGGAACTGCACAGAGGTAATCGGATGGTCAAGGAGACTAATGATAAAAATCTGCCCTTAAATATTTTAAGCTAAAATTCATGTTCAGTAGTGCAGAACTCTGGGGTCCCAACCCAGGTCTTACTTTGAGAAAAGTGTCCAATCTTGCTCAAAGGCATCAAACCTGTTGTAGATTCCCAAGTGGAATGGACTGCTGTCTAGATGAGAACACAAGTAGGGTTCCTCTATTTCTACAAAAGAACAATGCGTTCTTTGTTGTCTCACTGTAGATTTGATATCTAAAAGTCCAGATCTCCCTAATCAACACCCCATGCCCACCTGGCTAGTCCCACATTAGACAGAGTTCAGTTGTAAGTGACTCAAGCCTTTACTTCCCCAAAGCTCAGTTGAAACTGCTGCTTTTTGAGAGAAAGCCATTCACTTTTCATTTCTCTAAACCAGAGATTTTCAACTGGTGTGCTGCAAAAATTTTAAAAACATGCAATATCTGACTATTTAGTCAAGGACACTGACCTCTTTTCCCTTAGATTGTCAAGTAAAAAAAATGACAATAGCCAACACAATGGCCATCTGATGTGAATGAATCAAAACTATATTTGTTTTGTTTTGTTGTCAGATTGGAAAAAAATATATTTTTTGGTGTGCCGCAGAACTAGTAATTAGTTTATGTGTGCCATGAGATGAAAAAGGTTGAAAATTGCTGCTCTAAACTTGTTAAACTCTATCTATGCATATGTTAATTCATACAAAAAGTTTTACTTAACCGTATGTATTAAGCTTAAACTGAATTACAAACTATCAACCCCATAGTTTTTGTTTTGTCTTTATAAAGTATATTTTTATTTATTTCAGAGAGGAAGGGAGAGAGAGAGAGAGAGAAACATCAATGATGAGAGAAAATCACTGATTGGTTGCCTCCTGTATGCTTCCCACTGGGGATTGAGTCTACAATCCAGGTATGTGCCGTGCCCGGGAATTAAACCGTGGCCTCTGGGTTCAGAGGTGGACACTCAACCACTGAGCCACATCTGCCAGGCTCACTCCATAGTTTTTAAAAGAAATTCCATATTAAGAACATTTGTGAATTTAATTGTTTCTGCACACAAACTATTTGTTTCTTTGAATCAAATGATGAGAACCACATATCCTAATGTTTCCCTTTTGGCTTTGTTTGCCAGGAATTTCAGAGCTAAATATAGGCCTACTTTCCTAATTCTTTGGTACATCTCTGTCTTCCTTTAATCTGGTTTCTAATCTTCCTCTTCCGTGTTTACATTTTCTACATCCACGCTGTCCAGTATGGTAGCCTTTAGTCACATGTGGCTATTGAATACTCGACAGTTTGTCCAAATTGGGATGTGCTATAAAGTGTAAAATACTTCAATTTTTAATATTAATTATATATTGAATGATATTTTGCATATATTGGGTTAAATTTAACTTTCCCGGTTTCTTTTGACTTTCTTTTTATTATGGCTATTAGAAAAGTTTATATTACCTATGTGAAAAAATTATATATGTGGCTTGCATTTGTGAAATTCATTATATTTCTGTGGGACAGTTCTTTTCTTTTTAAAAAATATTTTTGATTGATTTTTTTAGAGAGAGATAGGAAAGGAGAGGGAGAGAGAGAGAAAGAAACATCCATGAAAGAGAAACATCAATCAGCTGCCTTGTGCACACCCCGTACTGGGGATTGAGTTCGTAACCCGGGAATGTGCCCTGATTGGGAATCAAACCGGTGACCTTTTGGTGCATGGGACAATGCTCAATCCACTGAGCCACCTGGACATTTCTTTGGCCATGCTGGACATTTCTTTTCTATAAATCATCCTGTTTTGAATGTGCTATTTGTAAACTATCTAAAATCCCTTTGGAAAGCAGGTGAAAAAGTAAATGCAAAGGAGGTGATGGCATTGGATAGTGTGAGAAAGGGGAGGTTCACTGGGAAATATACTTGTCCTTGTCAGTCCATTTGTCTTATTTGTGTCACATACAAAACCCTTCTGTATTTTCAGCTGTTCTGATCAGGTGAGTAGTGTTCTTATGACTCTGCTCAGCCTGTTGAAAAGTTCTCAGCTTTACTTGAGCTAGCAAATTGGGAAGGATCTGATAAGACAATTCACACCACACTTGTAAACTACTGATAACATTGTGTTCACCCCTCTCAAGGGGTATTTCCATTTTAACAGGGAACAATCCCTGAACCCAAAGGAATGAATCCCTAATGGTGGCGTTTCAGGCATCAGTGACAGGTGAGTGACAGTGAGATAGATCCTGGTGTTATGTGTGTGTTTTACATACATATGACTACATTCCGGATGTGGCTGAAAGTAGGGTCTTTGGACGAAAAGGCAATGGGGCTGACAGAGAAAGTAGCAAATTCTGAGCTGGGTCAGACTGCAAAAGGCTATCAGACACCATGCCCTAAGGGGTTTGTTAAGCAATAGAATAACCCAGTTGATGTCACTAGAGGGTAGGTATCAAGACCGTCTCCATGGTAACTACTATGGCTTCAGAGTAGGATTCAGGAGACTATGATTACAGTCCACAACTGACTCACTGGCTTAATTTTGGGCAAGTGCTTTCACTCTGGGTCTCAGTTTCTTCGTCTGGAAAGTAGAAATGGGTGTTATAACAATCAATGAGCTCTAAGGGATGTGAGGTGTTCTGAGAATTAGGAAGTGCCCTACAACTGCAAAGAATCGTATTAGTATCTTAAAATATAAATGCAGCCAGGAAAGCCTGGAGTATAGAAGGTAGAACGCAGGGGTGGAGGGTAATGGGGAAACCTGAGGGCCTATGCCCCTTGTACCTGGAACACCAGCCCTTCTCTGTCCTCCCAGGCTGAACCCGGACTTCCAGGGCCCATGCTTACACCGGACAAATTATGGCCTGAGCTATGAGCACACAGGACTACATGAACACTTCGGTGCAAGAGCCCCCTCTTGACTACTCCTTCCGAAACATCCAGGTGATTCAAGGTCAGCCCACAGAGAACAGCACTCCACTCACCATGGCAGCAGCTGGGTGTGATCCCTAGGGAGAAATCAGTCTTCTTCTTAAAAGCCTGAAGAGATTCTTCCCATATACTTGCAGATTTTGTTGTTGTCCTTTCTGGGAGGAGTAGAAGAAAGGGAGGTGGGAGTGGAAGTGTTTGGCCTTTTAAAAAATTAGCAGAACCTCTGAAAGGAACCAGGGGGCTCTCTCAGGGTAATTGATCATCTTCAAAAGACAGGCTACAACAAGAAAGTCAGGTGGTGAAAGCGGGAAAGCCAGTGTGTCAGCCAATAGTTTTATTCTGTTTTTACCTGGAGAGGAAGAAACTAATGGAAGGAAAACAGCCTGCAGCAGAGTCCTATCTCCTCAGTCAGGACACAAGCCTATTCTGTGGATGCTAGTCCATATGTGGGCTTTTTATTTCTTTAAATGTTTTTATTGATTTCAGAGGTCCTGGTTCATAGGTCCTGACTTCTGGGGACACATGGGGGGTCTTGTTATTAACAAACTGGTATGTTTCCAGTATAATACTTACTGACATTTTATATTCATTCCAGTCATATCCAAGTTTATTCCATCATCACCCACACTTACTGCAGGTTCCAGCACTGCCCATGCTAGTTCCCATTCAATGTCTTTGTAAATGGGCAGCTAGTAACTCTCAGAAGGGGACACAGCAGGGCTCTCAAGTAATATATTTTCAAGGGAATATGCTTCTTCCTAGAGAAGTTCTGCTGTCCCTTGCTTTTGTTATCTGGTCTCATAAATGCTCCAGTATATCTGCCCTCACAGAACACAGGTTGGCATCAATATATCCTAGACCCATTATCTGGCGTTGGTCCTCTTTCTTAGGCAACTGGTGGCCACTTTTAAGTTCAGGAAATGCAAACAGTTATCCAGGGTACTGAATACTACTTGGGTTTGGGCTTAGCATACTGCAGGGGTTGGCATCAGCCACAATAGTAACTCATATTTGTTCTTCAGTGATCACACACCCACCTATCGTGATCTTCATTTTTTATGCATGGTTATCACTTCTGCTTGATGTAGTCCATGTTTCACAAGGGTTTTAGCTACAGTGATGGCTACATGCAATATAGCCATAGTGACAGAGAAGGAAGGGAAGTGTGGCTCCCACGTACTCTGGGAATTCCCAGCTCTGAGCAGGGAGATATAGTTTACCCTTTATGGAGTCCTCAGAATGAGGGTAGAGATAAGCTACTACAACCAAGGATAACTCCACAGCACAAAACATAATTAGTACAGACCCCATGTTCTTCATTCAACATTTAAATATTTGTTAAGCACCTATTTTATTAATATCATATATCTGTATGTATGTATGTATGTATGTATGTATGTATATGTGTGTATACAAATATGCCAGGCATAGTGCTCCTTGATGAATATTAGAAAGGGAAAGAGAGAGGCACATCTAAGCCCCAAAAGGCCAGTCCCCTCAGGTTTCCCAGAACTATGGAACACTTACTTAAAATTGGGGTTAGAGGACAGGATAGAGTTTAGGGGTACCTGGTATGCTATTTGGTAATTAATCAATAGATAGATCATAGAATCTGAAATGGCAGTGACTTTAGAAGGCATCCAATCTATACTACCTCCAACCCATAGTCCTATAACTACTGCTCACCTAGTGTTAAGGGAGTCCCTTACCACATGCACCTACCCATCCCTTCCATTATGGGATGAGAAATGACACAAGGAAGTTCTTCATATCAAACTAACTCCTGACTTCTGGGGACACATGGAAAAGTTGCATGGCAACTCTTCAGAGAGGTGAAGACAGAATCACTTTCTCCCCAGATTTTCCTGTAGCTAGACAACCTCCAGTTCTCTGAGTATTGATATTTGTGGTCCAGTTTCCAGACCTGCCTTTGCCTAATCTGAAAGGCCGATCCTCAGGTGATAGAGTACCCTGATGGAGACTGAGGGGACCAGTAACTGTTGCGGTCTAGACACCTTGCTTTACCCTTGATAACAGCAGCCCCAGGCAGCCTCAAATTTTAGGCAATGCCATTCCACCAGTGGCTCCTCTGAGCTTGGGGTCAGCCCAGACTTGATGGCATTCCCTAAGCTGCTGCCTCATCACACTGGATGCATCATTGGATGCTAGTCCATATGTGGGCTTTTTATTTCTTTAAATGTTTTTATTGATTTCAGAGAGGGGAGAGGGAGATAGAAACACCAGTGATGAGAATCATTGATCAGCTGCCTCCTGCAAGTCCCCTACTGGGGATTGAGCCCACAACTGGGCATGTGCCTTGACCAGGAATTGAACTGGCAGTCTCCTGGTTCATAGGTCAATGCTCAACCCCTGAGCCACGCCATCCAGGCTATGTGGGCTTTTTAAAAATATGTTTTTATTGATTTTAGAGAGAGACGGAGAGGGATAGAGATAGAAACATTGATGAGAAACATCAATCAGCTGCCTCCTGCACGCTCCCTATTGAGGATTGAGCCTGCAACAGGGACATGTGCCCTGACTGGGATTGAACTAGTGACCTCTTGGTTTATGGGTCAAAGCTCAACCACTGAGCCACGCTGGCTAGGCCATATGTAGGCTTATTTTGACATCTTTGTAATTTCATTCCAGGGCTTGCAGTCAGGAGATGTGAGGTTGGGAGGCAGGATTAGGAGTTTCTTCACAAACTGGGGTGCTCCAGTACATTTCTGCCACCTTCCTCCAATCTCACAATCCACCTGGGAGTTCTGCTCACTCTAGGATTAAGACAGAGAGCCATCTGGTGGATGCTGCCTGACATGCAGCTGAGGAGAGGAAGTTAATGTTGGCTGGGGGTGGAAGAGAGGAAGTGTGCCCAAAAAGAGCTGAGGGGAGGATGAAGACAAACTTGCCCAATTCAACAAATACTAAATATTCCCTTCCCCAGAAGCAGTTTTATTTTATTTATTTTTTAATCCTCACCCGAGGGTATTTTTCCACTGATTTTTAGAGAAAGTGGAAGAGAGAGGGAAAGAGAGAGAAATATTGATGTGAGAGAACCACATCCATTGGTTGCCTCCTGTAGGAGCCCTAGTCAGGGCCCAGGCTGGAGAGGAGCCTGCAACCAAGGTATATGCCTTGACTGGAATCAAACCTGGGACCCTTTGGCCCTCATGCCGATGCTCTATCCACTGAGCCAACCGGCTAGGGCCAGAGGCAGTTTTAGACAAGTAACCAAAGGTATAGGGGCCATAGGAAAACTATGGTCACCTCAGCCAGAGCTGGTGTCTGTAAGCTTGGGCAAAGCACATCCTCTCTCTGGACCTCATTTGTCAAAAAACAAAACAGAACGGGAGGCGGGGGACAGTTACAGGGGTGTCCATACAGATGGGTTCTAACATCACTCTATTCTCCTCACCTAAACTTTCTGAAGGTATTGTTTACACTACCTGCTTATATTTCCTTACCTCTTGAACTCACTCCAATCTAGCTTCTGTCCCCAGGCCCTTGCCATTTCATTGAAACAGCCCTCATCAAAGTCACCAGGGACGAAGAATTTTGTTACCAAAATTACTTTTCAATCCTCATCTCCCTAAAACTCACTCCTATAAATATGGATTCCCTGAGCATCTTATAAAACTAACCTCTCATGGCTTGCCCTGTCCTTTCCTGATTATTCGGTACCTTTTTATTTTTAATAGTGTTTTAAAAAATGTTTTCATTGATTTTTAGAGAGGCTTCAAGGAGAGGGAGAGAGAGAAACATTGATGAGAATCATCAATCGGCTGCCTCTTACATGCCCCCCACTGGGGATTGAGCCCACAACCCAGGCATGTGCCCTGACCAGGAATTGAACCAGCAACCTCTTGGTGCACAGGACAACACTGAATCCACTGAGCCACGTGGGCTGGGCTCAGTAACTTCTTAAGTGGACTCCCCTTCTTCCTTGTGCCTCCTCTCTACTTTTACTATCCCTGAGGACTCGTCCATTTCTCTAACTTGTTCACTCTCTATGCTAATTATTCTCAAGTCTTTGTCTCTCACCTTCATATCCAACTGCCTACTTGGCTTCTCCACCTTTTTATACTTAAGGAACCTCAGACACACCAAGGTCAAGTCTAAACTCATTACCTGCCCAACCATGTTTCTCCTTTTCTTAATTCCGTATCAGTTACATCAACCATCAAGTCACTCTGACTGACCTTCATCTCTTGCTTGGATGATTGAAAGAGCCAAATTGGTCTAGTCCCACCCACTCCCTAAAATCCAGACTCTGTACTAAAGCTTCAGAGTGATCTTTCTTATATGAAAGATTTATCTCTTTTGCTCCATAACCTCCCGTAGCTTCCCGTCACCTACAGTAAAGTCCAAATTTTCAGCCTGGCATTAGAGGTTCCTTGCTTCCTTTTTCCTCCTTGCCCCCTGTGCAGCACATACATGTGCACCCATGCTGTTCCATACCTCTGTGCCTTTGCCCATGTTCTTCTCACCCTTTCCACCCTTCTCCTAATCCACTGAGATCCAGCTCAGATTTCACCTTCCCTGGGAAACTTTCATGAGCTCCAGACTAAGTTAGGAGCCCCCTCTACTTCAACAACTTAAATAGCATTTACCACAATACATTGCCAGTTGGTTTCCATCTTGCCCATTTGAGCTCCTCTAAGACATAAACATCTGCTTCATCCCTGCCCTATTACTCACACAAGCATGGCGCAGACTGTCTCTCATATTGTTCACCATTATATATCCAGTAGCTGGCACATAGTAGTTGTTTAATGTTAGGGGGAGAGAGCAAATCAGGGTGTGTTACACTGAAGTGAATTTTGTAGGCTCTACCAGTGGATAATTTTGGATTTTGTACCAACAACTCTGGTTTTTAGTTTCCTCATTATAAAATAGAGGAGTGGTTTTATCCCTCCCCCCCCCCCAATACATATACATAGGGTGTACACAGAGGACCCAATAATAAAATAGATATGAGGAGCATGTGACCCAAACCGAGTTTGGGATAGGAAGTCTGGCCCTTAGTTCAAGCTTACTGGTTTCTGGGGCCTGAGAGATGGGGGTCTTGAGCTGACAATGAGTAGTTGCACTAGTCAGTCTATGGCCCTCCAGTTAGCTCGCGCTGCTTATTCGCTCAGCTCTCATCCCCCAGAACCAGAAAGGCAAAGATGATATATGCAGACTTCACTTTGTTCCCACAGATCTGATGAGCGAGGAGCCAAGGAAAGGGCAGCGACCACTAAAGCACTCGAAGTCAGGGAAGTCACTGACTCAGTCCCTGTGGCTGAACAACAATGTCCTCAATGAGCTGAAAGGCTTCAACCATGTAATTTCACTGCTGCTGCAGCATCCAGAGAACCTGGCCTGGATTGACCTGTCTTTCAACGACCTGACTTCCATTGACCCTGTGAGTTCCCAGTCCTGAGAGTCCAGTCAGGTTGGGCCGGAAGCTGCCCTGTCCAGCCCCCAGCCTTTCCACCTCCCACATTTCATCCAGGAAGTTGTGAGGCATCATGGTACTGTGTCTAAAGCACACAGCTGTTGGCTCAGATGTAGGTTCAAATCCTAGATTTGCCCCTTATGATTTTGGACAACCTTCCTAACCTCTCCAAAACCTCAGCTTCCCTTTCTGAAAAAATGGGGATAATATACCAACATCATAAGTATTTTGTGAGAATTAAATAAGAATGTATGAAAACCAACTGGCACATAGAAAGCTGAAATAAATAGAAGCTCTTGTTATTGGGCACCCACTGTGCCTTGTGCAAAGTTCTTCTGTGGAAGAGGTAGGTAGTAAAAGTACAGCACTTTTTCCATGCACTGACTCAAGTTTTAAGGAATAAATAAAACTGGTCGTCTTGTCCAGGATCCATTGGGGGGAAGGAGCTAGAGCACAACTTAGAAACTGTTCCCCAGGTGTAGTGATCTCAATTTCACTATTTAAAAAGCTTCTCTTCTGTACCTAGCACAATGCTCTGTATCCCTGTCCCTTGTTTTGAGACTCAGATCACCAAAGGTCTTCAGTGAAAGGGCAACTAAGGCTCAGGCAGAAGCAGGCGGGTCCAGTCACCTGGCACGTCAGTGACAGCGCTAGGACCCAGGCCCATACTTCCTGCCTTTAAGGTCACAGCTCTATGTGAGTGGGATGCCCTATACCTCTTCAAGGTGAATGAAAGTAGGTTAGTCATTCAATGCGGCTGGGGATGAGGGGTGGTGGAGTGGAGAGCAAGTTGTTCCCCAAACTCTACTCGCCCTCAAGTCAGACCTGAGCACAGCTCTAGAGACCTGTCTAGCCTGCTTTCGGTTTCTTCCCCAACAGGTCCTGACCACTTTGTTCAACCTGAGTGTCCTCTACCTCCATGGCAACAGCATCCAGCGTCTCGGAGAGGTGAATAAGCTGGCCATCCTCCCTCGGCTCCGGAGCCTCACACTCCACGGGAACCCCATGGAGGAAGAGAAGGGGTATAGGTAAGTGCCCTGCCCTGGAGCTAGGCTTCCCCAAGGGAAAGGAGGGGAGACAAGGAAAAGAAGTAGAGACCTTTAGGCATTTCCTGCTGTCAGGATAAACTCAGTCTCCCCCAAACTATACTCAAGTCCCTCCATTCCTGCAATCAGGGGAGATAGCAGCAGCTGGTGGTGGTGGTGGTGGGGGGAATGGGGTGCTGGTGGGGGGGCTGGCCCCCAGCCCGAGTCTTCCCCACAGGCAGTATGTGCTGTGCACCTTGCCTCGTATCACCACATTCGACTTCAGTGGGGTCACCAAAGCAGACCGCACAGCAGCTGAAGTGTGGAAACGAATGAACATCAAGCCCAAGAAAGTCCGGATCAAGCAGGATGCACTCTGAGGTTCCCAGGACTGCAGCCATCCTGAAGGCCTGAGGACAGCCAGTGTTGGTTTGACAATACAATAAAGGATTTGAGCTGTTCAGCAGATTAGAAGTCACTTGTGCTGTGTAAAAATGCCCCCCAACTCAGGCAGTTGCCACTGGTTCTGGTCTTGCTTCACTGAAAGGTAGGCAGGGGAGGGAAAGGCCTGTTGACCTGAGACACAGGAGACCTGGGTTCATTGCATGGCCTTGGGGAACTGATCTCAACTCTGGGTCCTTTTTTCACTCTTCAGATCAGATATCCTGGGATTGAGTTGCTTCAGAGAGCACCAGGGTTCTGTGGAGATGCCTCAGAGGCCTCGGTGAGAAAAAGTCAAGAAGATAGGCCATGAATGCTGAATCCCCCATTTCCATCCAACCAGAGTAGTTACTCTCATGTTGTTTATGTTGGGATTGTGCTTGAGACGTCATTTGATTAAAAAAAAGAACTTCTGCCCTAGCCGGTTTTCTCAATGATTAGAGTGTTGGCCCACGAACTAAAGGATCATGGGTTTGATTCCCGGTTAAGGACACGTACTTCAGTTGCAGGTTCCCCAGCCCTGGTAGGGGCGCATGCGGGAAGCAACCAATTGATGTGTCTTTCACCTCAATGTTTCTCATTCTCTCCCCCAACCTCCCACCCACTCTCTCTGGAAATCAATGGAAAAAATATCCTTGGGGGAGGATTAAAAAAGAAAAAAGAATCTCCTGCTTGAAAACTGGTTTGCTGACTCCAAGTCAGGCACTCCTGATCTGTCTGCACCATCACCACCAATCCCTTCCCAGGCTTTTCAGTAATTTCACTGAGTCTGCAGCAGGGTCCTCAGCAATGACAGCTGCCTGTGTTCCTATCTCTGGAGAAATGACAAGCAATCTTATCCAATATGAGGTTAGCCAAGGCCGAGTCTCAGATAAGACCTGGGAACCTTGAACTCATATCTTAGACTCCTTCTAATGCCCCTAAAAGATGTCCCCCTCCCCATCATCCACTTTCACTGCTCATAGACTTAAATAGCTAGAAGTAAGCAGTAGGGTGCTGGGCAGGACAGAGGGGCTGAAATCAGCACACAGATGAATACATTTCCTTTATCAAGGGAGATAACACGCCCCCCTCCCCCCCAAAAAAACACCAAAACCCCAAACATGTAAAAACCCAGGGTGCTAGAAATACAAACTCAATTCATTCAAATTCAATCTCGTCCAGACACTGGTCACAAACCCTAGTGAGGTGCCTGTGAGCACCAAGTCAGGGAGAGGGGCAAAGAGTGAGGCCAAGAGAAAGAGTGGGAAAGGGGCCTTCATAGGCCCCCTAGTGATCACCCTCACAGTGTTACCTCCACCCCTTCCCAGTGACAGTGAAGACCTACCAGGCCCTGTCCTTTTGACCTCCACCCCACCCCTGGCCAGGGCTTCGAAGGCCAGTCCCAAATGGTTCTATCCTCTCTTGCTCCATCCTCACTTGTCCAGGCTTGTAGCCTCGCTCTTCTCCTCCTCCTCCACATTCTTCTCTGTGATTAGTAGCAGGTCAGGGTACTGTATAAGCCATAGTGAGGCTGGGGCCAGGGGAGGCGGGTGAAGAGAGGAGAAGAAGAGCTGTCCAAGGACCACTGTCTTCATGGGATCCCAAACTGTACAACCAGCTCCTCTTTCGCATCCACACGAATCTGAGAAAGTGCACTGTAGGCATAAGCAGCTATTCTGGAGACCTGAGATAGAGGGACCAGGGAGGAGAGGAACAGAGAAAGAAAGGTGAAAAGGGAGATCCAGAAACTGGGGGAGGAGGATCAGATGGCCAGAGAGGAGGGAATGGTGGGGGATGGGAAGCCAAAGAGAAAGGTGGGAGCGAGCAGGGCCCACAGGCTACCAGGTTAACTCCAGTTCCCCACCTCCTATAAGGCAGAGAGGGTGAACCCTCTGCCACAACTTGGGCAGTGTGAGTGGGTAGGCAGGGGTGGGGCAAGGGTGGCTCACCTGCTGCAGGTCGGAGAAGGGGACGGGTTCGCTGGCCAGCACTTGGTGGGGCTGACTGGTGAGAGATGGCAGTGGCGGCAGCTTCTTCCAATGGGTCAGGCTGCTGCTCAGCACAGCCAAGCGGGTGCTGGCCGACAGGGAGGGGTGGGATGGGCAATCAGTTTACAATCTGTCCTGCCCTGCCAAGCTCAGCCCGGGTGAGCCTCCCTCAGACCAGAGAAGCAGGTGACAAGGCCTCAGCTGACCACAAATTCACTCCAGGCCCACCTCCCTTCGCCCTCTGCATCCTTGAGTGTCACAGGACAAATAGTGCGGACATGAAGGCACCCAAGAGGTCTGTGGTCAATTTCTTGGGCTGTACCCAAACGAAGAGGCTGGACTGGGGCCCAGGCTGCAAAGCTGGATCAGGGATGGAGGGGAAGGGAGGAATCCAAGCTGGCCAGGTGCTCACCTGTACTGCCTTGCCCGGTCCATGTACTCATGCCGCTCCATGCCCTGGGAGTCTGCAGCAGACACGTCAATGATGTTGCTTTGGGGAGAAGAGAAATAGAGAGGACATGACAAGTACATCCAAGAGGGACGAAAAGGATTCCCTGCCAGGTGCTAACTCCAGGACTATCTGACACCAATGCCCCCACTGCCTACTGGAGCAGGGCTGGGCCCAGCTCTCTCTATCCCAGCCTTTAACACAGATAGAGGAGCTCTGCCCCAGGCCTGGTTCTGTGATGCTCACCTGGCTGTCTTGGCAAGAACGGAGGAGAGCAGGGCCTGCTCATCTGTGCGAGCGGAAGGCAGGCTGTGGTAATTTGGCTCGGCTCCATTGAGGGCTTTGGTGGGGGGGCTGCTAGGGTCCAGCAGCAGCTTCCGCTCCTCTCGGTCCTAGGAGAGATCATCAGGGAGAAATCAGCCCCAGAGCCCTTAGTCCAACCTGCCTTTCCTGGGTTCTCCTCTCAGCCCAACTCTGACGTTTAAGTGTTTAAGCACCAAAAATGTTTTTTTTTTTAGGAATATCCCAGTGCCCCACTATATGTCAGATAAGACCCAGTTCCTGCTTGCCCTTGGAAGCTCAGCTCGGTGGTCCAGGATAAAGTAAAGTGGACTCAAACAGTCACAGATGCCCTGAAAAGATGGGCAGAGGCACAGCCCTGGAGTTTTAGAAAATAGTCCAGCAACTTATGGAGACAGAATACTGGAGGCTGGAAGCCAGAAGAGGTAGAAAACAGTGGGGCCCACAGGGGAAATTGATGCAAGCCAGGAGCCCAATGACCCTCCTGATTCCCCAAACCAGGCCCTCCCTAGCAAGGCTGTCTGTTCCCAGGATACAGAGGCCCTGTGAGGCCAGACATGGCCCTAAGCTCAAAGAGAAAACACACCCAAGCTCTCAATGCCCATTCCTCATATTATTTCAGGGCAGGAGCTCCAGCCTCAACCTCTGGGTCACACAGGCTAAGTGTGCTTCCTTCTTGATGGCAGGTCCCTTATTCTCTCAGGTGTTCACCCTCTTCTGCTCTCTTTATATGGGACTCCCAGAACCAAACTTGATGCACCTGGGGATGCTGACCTGAACCGAACAGTAGAGCTGTTCCCTCCCTTGCTAAGGCGCCACACCTCTATTAGTATGGCTTCATTAACGGTCAGCAGCCCTGTCACTACTAGCCTACACTGATGATCACAACCCCCAGAACTGACCTGGGGCAAAGTCTCCCTGGTCATGTATAATTCTGTATGTCTCTTTGTGAAAGACAGAAACTACCTCATCTAGCATTGCCAGGCATTATGGGTAAATATTTTATGTTCTTATTCTTTGTTAATTTTCCTGTAGTCTCTTTTTCTTTGTGATGATTAACGACATATTTTCCAATTGAAAGTGATACAAGTATGTTTTACACCTTTTGAGAAGCAACCAATATGTTGATGCTTTAGGTTGTTAATATTCATTTGAATAATTTTGCTTTTTAGAGCACGAACATTCAAATTTTTTAGAAAATTGGCTGTGTGCACTGAGAAAAGAGGCACACAAATGTTTATAGCCCAGTTTAGTTCCTTGTTCTAATCTTTCTGGATACAACCCTGCCTTGAGCCCATCAGCTGCAAATCCCTGCTGGCTTTGTGTCAGCTGCAAAATGGATAAGCAGACCTGCTGGGGATCTATCCAAGCCACAAAGAGTGAGGTGGTCAGGACAAAATCAAGGACAAGGGGCCTATCCTGGCTAACGCTGACTCACCAACTGGTAGTGCCAGACCACTAGACCCCTGAGTGCTCCACTCCAGGCCTATCTCAGTTCCTACCACTGACTTCCCCACTGCAGGCTCCCAACTTCTCTGCCCAACTCTCCTTGCAGAGGGCCACTTCCTCCTGCCCTGCCTGCCCCACCCTAAGCAGGCCCAGTCTTGTCACATGACTCTTCCTGCGCAATCCTAGGTTGCCCAAGTGTTCACAGTTCCTAGCAGCAAGAGACAGAAGCTGTGAGCTTCTGCCCCATTACCTCCCAACTCCTAGACACTTCCATTCCTAAAGGACAGGCTAAGTACTGAAGTGCTAGAAAGACAAAGTACTTGCCAAAGATTAAACTATCTCTCAGGAAAGCTGGTTCCATCATGAAGCCTGCATTTGTTTCCTGTGTCCATCCTTCCTCCAGCCCCACTTCAGACAGACCTTTTTGCAGGACAGGGTAGTTTCTCCCCGTGGGTTCCTGAGACCTAGCCTCCCAGAAGCCATACTACCCATTAGAGTGGACACATAACATTGCCTCACCCACAAAGGGCAAAGGGAGCACAGGGGAGGTTTTTCCCACTGAATTTTGTTCCTGAGTCAGTGTCAACCCAGGAGTCAGTTTCACTGCCTACCCTAGCATAGACACATATGTGGTCTGCCCATGACCAGCCATCTAGAAGAGACAGCTTGACCCAATGGATAGAGCACATGGCTTGGCATCAAAATACCTTGGCTATGGCACTTCTCAGCTTTGTAACCTTTGCTAAGTCACTTAGCCTCTCTGAACTTTTTCTTTAATTTTTGTTTATTGATTTTAGAGGAGAGGGACTTTTATTTGATCCACTTATTTATGCATTCATTGGTTGTTTCTTGTATGTGCCCTGACCAGGGATCAAACCCACAACCTTGGTGTATTGGGATGACCTTCTAACCAACTGAGCTACCTGCCAGGGCAGGCTTTTAATAGACATAACTGGTACCTTATGACAAATGTCTGGCAAAAGTCAAGTGAGGTAACTGTAAAAGGGCTTTGAAAACTGTAATATGTTGTGTATTTCTTTTTATTATTATAATAACGGGGCAGTGATGAGAGGGGAAGAGGAGCCAGCCCCAGAGCTCAAAGAGGGATTTTTTTGATAGTGAATGATTATAGCTTATAGACCAGGTAATTAGACTTTTGCCATATGAGGCCTCAAATCACCTCGCACTGATCAAACACCGTCTTTGGTGGTTAGAAACAGAAATGAGAGCCAATCAAGGGCAAGGTGGAGATTGAGGAGAGCAATAAGCCCAACTCTTCCAGCTAGAAGCTGGTATATCCTTTCTCATAAGGCAGGCATTAACCCTTCTTGACTCATTGCCAGAAAGAGTCATATTATGTTTTAAGAGACAACTTCCCATAAGCCACAGCTTTCCTCAGTAGTCAGGGATACTGTCCCTTTAACAGGCTGGGGTGAAGTGAAAGGTACTGGCTGAGGCATGCCTAACATAAGACAAAGGAAATGTGATTATGTGTTCATTGTGTTTAGCCACCCATGCCTCTCATACAAATGACATTTTCCCAAGCCTAAATCCTTAACCCAAAAGAGGTTCATGTGAGTCACTGGGGAAAGACCTTCTCCCAAATACCAGTGACATAATCCATTTCTGTCACCATCGACCCAACCAGACAGTGGGCTAATTGTCTTTGTGTCTAGTATGTGTTGAAATGTGGAACCCAGGCACAGAGGCAATCAAAAAGGTGCGGGGCCAACAGCTTAAGACTTCATCCTTGGAAGGGTTCCCCCCCTCAAAGGAGGTCTGGTGGGAAGGACCAGAATTAGTGTGGTGTGAGCCCAGCCAGTGCCTCAGTGGTTGAGCACAGACCCATGCACTAAGGTCGCTGGTTTGATTCCCGGTCAGGGCTCATGTCCGAGTTGCAGGCTCAATCCCCAGTAGGGAGCGTGCAGGAAGCAGCCAATCAATGTTTCTCTCTCTCTCTAAAAAAATCAATAAAAGCATATATTTTTTTTAAGTTGGTGTGAAAATGCACGAAGAGGGAGAATTTAAAACTGTACAGGTTTCCCCAAGCTAATTCTTCTTGCAAAGGGATGTGATCTACAGCCAAATTCCCAGGGCAAGAACCCCTCTAGCTAGAGGAACCCTCAGGCCCAGGTAGGGACTGCACTGGAACTGTCAAAACTGAGTTCCCCATCCCATACCACCACCCGCCCCGCGCCGGCCCAATCCAGCCAAGCTAAACCCGATGTTACTTCCCAAATAATTTCTCACACATCCTGATGTCCTCGTTGTGCCTATTAAACCCTTCACTAACTCAAATGCCACCACCTTCCAGAGGCCTCCTCTGACCCCAGACCATCAGTGAGCTGCCTTCTCCAACCCCAGGGACTGAGAGAATACACAGATTCCTGATTTATCTCGGGACAAACTAACTCAGCCTCAGCTTCCCCACCTCTACAACGGATTCACAAAGCCCGCTAATGCGAGCACAGGGAGGGGGGAAGGGAGTGCTTCCCAGGGACCTAGGCTAAGGATCCTTGAAGCTGTAAAGGTCTGAAAGTAGGGGAGGTGAAAGGGTGGGAGAGCAGGTGAGATAGGCGGCTGCCTGCACACCCCACTGCACGCCCCAACGCGGTGACTCTACAGAGAACTGGGGCTTTAACAGAAGAGGCCAGCCCGGCGGCTCCTCTGTAATATGTCCCCTCCGGGCCTCCGTACTCGGTGACCCTCGCCGTCCAGCTCCCCTCTCTCCAGCAGGTTTGTTTCTGAGCCCCATGCCCCAGGGTTTCAGCCCTCATTCCCGAGCCCCGCCCGCCGCGGCCGCACCTGGTCCGAGTCCTCGTTCTCGCTGCTGTAGCAGCACCCCATGGCCGGGGTCGGGCCGGGCGCTCGGGCCGCAAGGAGGAGGGACGGCGTCCGTAAGGAGCCCTTCCGGTCACATGACCTGTGGCTGCAATGAGCAAGCAACCACCCGCCTCCAGGACTATCCCTTCCCAGAGCCGCTTCGCTACCGCTGCGTCCCTGAAACCCCGGCTTCCGGTCCCGCCCCCACCGCGTGACCATTTCCAACCAATGGGAAGGCGTACCCTGCGTGACAAGACGCGAGACACGTGATGGGAGGAAAGGGGGGGCTCATCACATGACTTCAGCCTCTTCTCAGTCTCTGAGCTCGTTCTCCCCTGCAAGCAATAGGGGGTCTCAGTGGTCGTGTGGCCTCCAGGCTACCTTTGTGGGCCAGTGAGCGAGCTCATACCAAGTGTTATCATGATGTGGTCTCCTAAATGCCACACGTAGGCCCCAGTTGCTCAGCGGCAAGTTGGGGGACACAGCGGGTGTGACGACCAACGTAGTTCTCAGCCTGGATTGAGGATCTGACACTTAATGGAAGAAGGAACTGTACACCTTCACAAGAGGAAGCGGAATAGAGCTTAATCCTAGTAGTGGAGATAGAGGCCACCTTACTGATCTCTTTGCCCTTAGGCACTTATCTTCAATCCTGTCATTTTATGGCAGCCCTACTATCTTAACACACAAAGCTCACCATCATTGCTTTTTTAGAACCATCCCATGTCTTCCCTAGGACCCTGAAAACAGGTTCAAGTCTGTCATTCAAGATCTTGCAGATTCTAACGAACACCTGCTTCCCACTCCAGATCCAGAGGGTGGTGGTGCAGGGGTTTGCCTCACCAGGCATAGCACTTTCCTGACTGACCTCCTGGACTTTGCACGTGTATCCAGGCACACTGTCTCCCCAGTAGGTCTGCCTACTGTGTTCAAGATTCAACAATACCCTCCTAATTCCCTTCTCTAACTTCATTCTCTGGACATCTCCTGTGCTTAATCCCTATTCTGCATTAATTCATTCATGTATTGAATCACACATTTACTGAATATCTGCAATATGTCACATACTGTTGTATCTGAATATGTAGCAGTTCACAAAAGAGCCAAGAGTCCTTGTATTCATGGAGCATCCATTCTAATGATCGCATTATATTGTATTCACTGTCCCTGCACCAGTTTCTTCTACCAAATATGGAGTTCCAAAACAACAACAAAACAAAACAAAACACCCGCAAAAAAACATGGAGTTCTTGGAGAACAGGAACAAGATCTGACTCTTTTCTGTGACCCACTCCCTAGCACTTACTTAGAGAAAACTCAAATTTGGAATTAATGAACAAATTACAACCTCCCTATCACGTTGGCTCACATCATATCCCATGTGCTGATCCAAGGGATTGTAGGAGAGGCTACCAAGACCTATAGCTCTTTTGCCCCTCAAATCAAGACCGTGGAGTTCTTATAAGTTCTGAGGGCTCCTGAAGGGTAGGAGGCAGTTCAGCTTGCCCCTGGGGTAACTTGAACTGCAGGTTTCAGGTGACACCAGCAGCCTCAGCATCAATAATTGAGAGCAAGTCCAGCCTGCCTCAGGATTCTACCCCTACCCTCCAAGGACTGCCCCCTCCTGTCCTATGCTCTGATCTTCCTCAAGCAGGAGCCTCCAGCCCAGGTAAGCAGGGCCCTTGAGTGTGGGTTCCCAAGCACACTGGTTCAAATTTGCCATCCCTCACCTATTCACACCCATTCATACATTCCTACTTTCATTTTTAGTTTCTACCACTACCAGTGGCCTCAAAGGGGCATGGAAGAAAACAGGAAACATCCCTCATAGCTGGCTGGGGAGAAGAGGGCTGAGTGAGGAGAAAGTGTGTGCTCTGTGTATGCACATGTGAAGGGAATTCTGAGGGAGAGAAGAGGGGAGTGCAGGGGAAAGGAGATAGGACTGAAAAAGAAATATAGAATCAAGGACTCTTCTCACCCCTGGGGAAGCACAGAAGGAAAATCCTGGGGTGGGAAGGACATCTTATCCTAACACCCTGTGGAGTAAGTGTTTTGATTGCCTTTTACTGAGGCAAAGCAATGACAGTGAAGAGGTTTCTGATGTAAAGCTGTGCTTTTTTGCTACACAGTAATGGGTCAGAGGAGACCAAGCAGGCAGGGGTAGGGGCGGGAGGATATGTCAGAAGGGAACTGGTGAAAGGGGTCCTGAAGAATGGTGACAACAGAGATGAAGAGAAATGGGTGGAGGGAGCAAGGTGGAGGTGGGACCAGGAGCCAGAAGTGGGGAGAGGTATTTTGGGGTTGGGTTCTGAATTTAGCATGGAGTCCTTGAAAGTACAGGGCTTGGGATCAGACCAACTCAGATTCAAATCCTAGTCCTGCTGTGTGACTCTGGACAAAAGACTTAGCCTTTATGAGCCACAGTTTGTAAAATGTAGGGATAATTATTTCTGCTAAGGATTGCACTAATGACAGGCAAATGTCAGGTGTGGGTTTTCCTCACTGTCTCCCTCCACCCCAGGACCCCTACCAGGACCAGGTAGGGACCATGTCTCCTGCCATTGCACTAGCCTTCCTGCCACTGGTGGTGACATTGCTGGTGCGGTACCGGCACCATTTCCGACTTCTGGTGCACACGGTCTTGCTGCGGAGCCTCCGAGACTACCTGTCAGGGCTGCGGATTGAGGAACGGGCCTTCAGCTATGTGCTCACCCACGCCCTGCCGGGGGACCCTAGTCAAATCCTCACCACCCTGGACCACTGGAGCAGTCACTGCGAGTACCTGAGCCACATGGGGCCTGTCAAAGGTCAGTGTTCCCTGCATTCTACTCCAGGAAGCAACACCCCAAGATGGTGAAGGAAGAGCTGGGATCTGCCACTGCTTTAATGGGTGAATTAGGCAGGTTCTTGATTCTCTATGGGTCTCTTTTTTCTCCTCTGGAAATGAGGGGGCTTGGCAAAGTTAATTCATGCAGCAAAAATTTATTGCCACCTCTTTTGTACCAGGTGTGTGCTGGGTGCTGGGGGAGAAGAAAGTAGAGGCCACAAGGGTGAATCAGCCACAGATGCTGGCCTCAAGGGGGCTTAATACAGAGGGGAATAACCATCTCTGCACATAACCCATAACTTTGTAATGTCTTTCTCTCCCACTACGGAGGCCCCCACATCCCATTCAGGGCAGCTCCTGCCTGGATTTGTGTGAGTCCCAAATCCCAGCACAAGTCTTTCAGTCTTATTTAAGAAAGTGGTCCAATTCCAAGGTTAGAAAGATATCCAATGAACAAGTAAGGGGAAATTAAACTGGAAGTTCTAGCAAAGATCCTTCAAGAGACTGGAAGATGGTCTCTCAGAAGCCTTGTGATTGTTTCTGCCTGGACTTTCCTGGAGGAAGCAACAGTTTAACAGCTGAGGATTGCTTTCGAGTTGGCCAGGCAGGTGAGGATAGGGTTGGGGAAGGGCAAAGCCAGCCACATATACAAATGTGACAGGAAGGAGTGAGCCAGAATGGCTGACCCTGGGCACAGTTGTTTCGGATGGCTGTGGTACAGGCTACAGGTAGGCATAACTGAGAGCTGAAACTGGAAAGGTAAGATAGGATCAGTTCCAAGAAGGTCCTGAATGTCAGGCTGAGGATCCCAAGTTCAATTCCCAAGGCTTTAGGATCAAGGAACCAGGGAGTGATAGTGTCAGATTTATTTTTTTAGAAAGATTTCTAGTGGCTGGTGTGAAGACTGGTAAGCCTGGAGGAGAAGGGGGACCACTGGGGCAGCTGAGACTAGTCCGAGAGAGATAAGACTCCAGCTGGTTGGGAGCTGCAGGTGGGCATTTGAGATCTCTTTCTATGGCCTGCAATCCATCTCCCATGTCTGCTGCAATAGCTATCTCTTTCCTTAGGTCAGATCCTGATACGAATGGTGGAAGAGAAGGCCCCTGCTTGTGTGCTGGAGCTGGGTACCTACTGCGGATACTCCACACTGCTTATTGCCCGTGCCCTGCCCCCTGGGAGTCGCCTTCTCACTGTAGAGCGGGACCCACGCACAGCAGTGGTGGCTGAAAAACTCATCCGCTTGGCTGGCTTCGACGAGCGCACGGTCAGCCCCCACCTCCCCAACTATGGTCTCCACCCTTCGCCTTGTCCTGGCCAGGCCTCCCCTGTGGAGGAATCCCACCTATAGGAAAGAAGCAGCTCCGCTTAGGGAACTGTAATCCTGGAAGCTGTGTGAACTCTTGTTCCAAGTCATTTGCACATATTTACTGCTGAGTGACAAGGAAGCAGTTAAAAGGAAAGTCTCTGGAGTCCAGCAAATCTGGGTCCAAACCTCAGTTTGATTCTTATTAGGTATGAGACGTTGGGCAAAGCACTTACCCTCTGAATCTCAGCTTCTTCACTGGCTGAATTGAAATCACAATACTAGCCCTAGCCGGTTTGGCTCAGTGGATAGAGCATTGGCCCACAGACCAAAGGGTCCCAGGCTCGATTCCCAGTCCTGGTTGGGGCACATGCGGAAGGCAACCAATCAATGTGTCTCTCTCACATCAATGTTTCTCTCTCTGTCTCTCCCCCTCCTTTCCATTCTCTCTAAAAAATCTATAAAAAATTACCTTGAGTGAGGATTAACAAAACAAAAACAAAGAAAAGAAAAACAAATCACACTACTGATCCTGACTTCTTGGGTTCTGAGGTCAGAGGAAATGTAAGAACACTGGTGGGGATCTAGACCAGGGCCTGGCATAAAGTAAGCCAGATCCTGATGGGGTCTGGTGGGGGATAACCCTGGTTTGTCCCACCCTCACCTCCAGCTCCTCCCACCCCTACAGGTGGAGCTCATCGTGGGTAGCTCAGAGGAGGTGATCCCGCGCCTACGAACCCAGTACCAGCTGAGTCGGGCAGATTTGGTACTCCTGGCACACCGGCCCCGATGTTACCTGCGGGACCTGCAGCTTCTGGAGGCTCATGCTCTGCTGCCAGCTGGTGCCACTGTGTTGGCTGACCATGTGCTCTTCCCTGGTGCTCCCCGCTTCCTGCAGTACGCCAAGAGCTGTGGCCGCTATCGCTGCCGAATCCATCATACTGGCCTCCCAGACTTTCCTGCCATTAAGGACGGTATAGCCCAGCTCACCTACGCAGGACCTGGCTGAGGTCTAGGGGTACTTACTGCTGCCCTACCTCACCCCCACCCAAGCAAGGACCTCAGAACATCCCTTCCCCTCCCTGCTTGTGGCCTGACACATGCTGGGCTCGGGGAGACTCTCCTCCTACCTCTGCCTCACTCACCTGAGGCATCAAGTTCTGTCAGACTGCTTGGTCCCACTGATCCCCCTTCTTCCAGAAAAAGCCATGAACTGACAGGCAAAGGCCTGAGCTCCCACCCCAGCTCTGTCACTGATTTGCTGGGTGGCTCCAGGGGAGTCCCTGCCCTGCTGAGACTTAATCTGCTCTCTTAACACCAACAAAACTGGCTGGGAGAGCTCTAGAGGCTTCCCAGCTCTAGACCTCAGAAAGCCTGCCCTCCCCAGCCCATGCCATTGTGGACATGATGAAAAGAAACAGTAAACTCTGAGTTAGAAGCCCTGCAGGAACGGCTGGTGCAATCTGGGCCAGAGGAGAAGGCAGTGAAGCCTGGGCCCTGGCCTTCCCTAGCCCTGGCCCACATGGCCAGGTAGGTTTGCCCGAAGTCCCTTGAATGCCCTCTCCCAAAAGTTCAAGAAAAGGTGCTGGATCCCTCTGGGCCCCACCAAAAAATAGGGAATAGACATGGGGGGAGGGAGGAATTAGTCCTGTGTCTTTATTAAAGAGAGTTAGAGAGAGACTACACCTCAAAGGGTGAGGTACTGGCCAGAAAGGTGGGGTGGACTCAGGTCCTGGGGATTCAAGGGCAGGTTGATGGCCTGGGAGGGGCCAAGGAGACCAGGTCCTGGCAGCAGTTGAGGAGGTGCCTGAGGGTGAACTTTCAGGCACTGGGGTGATCAGCTGGTTCTGCAGGAGTCACAGGGTAGGTTGGGTTGGCCTGGAATCTCCCTGAGGCCACCCTGCCTTGTCTACTTAGATCATCCACTGGTCCTGATCCTGTTCGTTGCCTTCCATGTCCACCTGGAGAGGAGGCTGGGTGTGGGTGGGGAGGGGCCTCAGCCACCCAGCCACCCAGCCAGCCCCAGTCCCAGACCCTGCACCTGGCTGGATCTAGGGTTTCTGTACCCCTTGGCCACCAATTAGGTCAGGGGCAGGGGCCCAGGAGCAGAGGCCCTTCCCACACCCCTGCCTACCTCATTGACCTCTCCATCATCAGGTGACTCATTGTAGTCATTCATCTCGTCCATGTCCTGCATGTCCTCATCATCCTCTGAGTCCTCTTCACTATCCTCATCATCATCTTCATCCTCCTCTTCCTCATCATCATAGTGCTGGTGAGGCAGGGGAGAGCCTGTAGACTCTACAGCCTTCTTGGACCAGTTTAAGGGCTAGCCTACTTGGAGCCTCTCTCTGGAGTCAACAAATGACCCCTACTCCCCAATCCTGCTTGAGTCTAGCAGGCTGGTGCATGTTCTGCAGGACCTTAGTTCTGGGCCCAAAGCCCACCCCCTCTAGCTCCGTTTCTGGCCTCCATCCAGAGCTGAGGATCACAATTGCTCTGGAGTCAGAGGCAGGACCTTCAGAATTAGAGCAGAGCCTTAGTCCACCTGGGCCCCACTCACCTCTGAGGCCGGCTTGCCAATAGGTACCAGGTTGTTGTCTTTCTCTGCGATGCTCTGGAGCTGTGGCCAAAGGAGACACAAAAAAGCAGGGCCAGGGCCCAAGCAGGTCAGGAGCATGGGACTGGACTACTCTGCCCACAAGAAGATCCCCCCTACCCCCCAACCACCTCCAAGTGTGAAGGAGAATCTTCCAGTTCTCAGGAAGATTCAATCCCTTTCTCTCCTGTCATCTGCAACTTGATCCAATTACATAATAGTTATGGACTTGATCCAATTACATAAACTCTCTGGGCCTTGGTTTTCTCATATTATGGTGAGGGTGAAGTGAAAGACTATCAGCCTAGAACATGGCATCTGCTAGGTCCTCAATAAATAGTCAACATTATTATTTCCTATGTTTTTTGGAGAAGAACCTGGGCTCCGATCTGGCCCAGAGGTCCCATGGTCCTATGGACAATTAGGGTAACGCAAAGATGACAACCCAGCTCCCAGCCTGATTATTCTCAGCTCAAAGCAAAAAGCTCCTCCAGGGTAGGTCTCTAGAGAAAGGCTGGATCATGGCCAGTGAAGGGGGGAATCCCTGACTGAGGCTCACCGCTGTGCTAGGTGCTCACTCACCAGGCTTCATGGCTGCTGTTCTTGCTGCTGCAGCTCTGTCTCTTCCACACAAGGCCGATCCAGATTAAACCACAGAGTTTCAGTCACACGGGGGAAGAGGGAGGGAAACAAGGTGGACATGGCTCCTAGACTGAGAGAAAAGGCCAGGTGAATCCAGCGCTCAGATGTGTTGGTTTTGATTTGGGTTACAGTTTGACTTGGCAGTGGGGGGGAGTGGAAGGGAGCAGAGAAGCAGCTAGCTCTTCTCTGTGGGAGTCAGACAGACATGGGTTTGAGTCCTGGCTCCACCACTTAATAGCTGTTTGACTTCGGCCAAGTCATTGAACCTCTCTGAGCCTGTTTCCTCATCTGTAAAATGGGGATAACAATATACCACCCTCACATGTATTCTGATCGTTAAGTAAGGTAATTACTTTGTGGATAAGTAAAACTGTAAGCTGTTCAAAGAGGGAAGGAATGGAAGTCAAATGTAGAGATAGGAATCCAAAATGCAGACTGGCATTACAAAAGTAGAGGTAGCAGGGCTCCACGAAACTGTCTCTATCTCCTTCAAACACTAAAACCGATTTTTTTGTCCTCTATGATTATCCATACATATCCACCCAGTGTCCGAAATTTAGGACACTAATCACCTTTCATAGACCACAGCCAAATTTGGGGGGGGCAGGCGTGCAAGTATGGTTCACTAAGACATTCTAAAGGCATGGGTACATGTATACATAAGTAGATGGGAGGCTGAATGAACTAACATGTGAGAGAACAAGTACATTCCGCTCGGATTAAGCAGCTGAGGGAGCTAACCAAGAAGGTCCCAGGGAACATGAATTAAAACTTTTCGGCTCACAGGAAAACTGAGGCTCAGCAACAGGCAACGACGGGGCTCTAGGTCACACAGTGACCTGAGGCTTAGGACGCCGGCGGGGAAGAGGCCCAGTCCGGTACTAGCGGTGAGCAGGAGAAAGGATCTAGGTCTAGTTCTGCTTTCGCCCTAACTTATTTGGCCGATTCAGGGCCAGCCCTACCCTTCCGTGAACCTGAGCTTCCCAGACCACGTCACCGGCACAACAGTACCAACCATCACGCCCCAGAATTACTGAGCGGCACAGAGACCCAAGTTCCGAAAACCCAAACCGCCGCCGCAAAGCCACCGCCCATTCTTTGCTTATTATGATAATGGCCGTGAGGCTGACCAACAGGAATAAGGCAGGGGCGGGTTTCGGAGACGCATTTACCCTTATAGGGTTGCTAAAGGCGAAAGGAGCGGGGCTTAAATAGGGCCAATTAACTGGAAGAAATGCTGGGTGACAAGACGCGCGACCAATGAGTGACGGAACCTGTGTGACGGGGTGGGGCTTAGTCTCGCGGAAGCGGCCAATGAGCTGGCGCTCTTTAATATTGAAGGGTAGCCTAAACACGGATCTCTGGGGGAGGCGGGTCAGGGGCGCGGGGTTTCTCTGGGGGAGGGAAGAAGGGGCAAAGAGACTGCAGACGCAGTCCCGCTTCTGTACTTACCGCGCCGGGAGGCGGCAGCCGGCAGTGACCCGGAAGCACTTCCCTCCGCCTCAGCGGAAGGACCCACCTGAACCTGGGACACACCGAACGCATGCGTTCTAGGCCTCCTTTTGTTTCCCGCTCTCGCCCACCAGACCGGACGTGACGTTACACACTTTAGTCGCGTAGTTGGAGACGGAAATTTGTTGCGCCTTCTCTGTTGGCCCCGCCTTGAAACTCAGCCTATCGGCCTCTCCAATCTGCCCGGTTCCGGTAGCCCATGCCTACGGCTCCACGTAACCCCGCCCCTCCGCCTACGGGCGGTATTTGCTCGCCAACCCGTGCGGGAAAATGGCTGGGTGTCAGCTGCGGTAGCGGTGGGCCTCGTTTGTTATGCTGTGTACTAGGAAAATTAATCTGCTTCTAACCCAGAATCGCTGGGTGGTTTTACACAGTTTCTCTCTGTCCTCTCTGACTCCCAGTTTCCGGTTTGGCGCATGCGTTTATTTATGTATGCCTTCCGCGAAAATACAGTGTCCCAAAAACATGTATACACACTTTAACAGCTGATAGCTCAATTTATGTTTCTTTCTTTTCAGCCAGACTAAGCTTTAAACAGGAAATTCAGCCCAAGCCGGCTTGGTTCAGTGTATAGAGCCTCGACCTGTGGACTGAAGGGTCCCAGGTTCCATTGGGGACAGGGGCACATGCCCGAGGTGCGGTTGTGGGCTCCTTCTCCAGTAGGGGGCAGGCAGGAGGCAGCCCGTCAATGATTCTCTCTCATCATTGATGTTTTATCTCCCTCTCCCGTCCTCTCTGAAATGAATAAAAACAAAGAAACTAACAAAAACAAAAGAAATTCATCCCTAAAATGCTATTGGAAGTTTGAACACGCAGTTGAAGTACAAACACTGCCTTTATAATTAAAGTGTGTAAACATTTTGGGGGGGACAAAATGTATACACTTTAACAGCTGATACTTAATTTTTACTCCTTTTCAGGTTTAACTGATTTGAAATAATGGGTGAAGCCAGACTAAGCTCTGAACAAAGAAAATTTATCCACTGGGCTATTTTATGGGAATACATAAAAGATAAGTTACGGTACAAAACTGGCAACAGTTGACAAATTGAGGGTGCACAAGTCCTGAACGAAATGATCCTTGATGTTTGTGATTCCATTACTTCACATTATTGGCAGAATGGTCACCAGTTTGAAAACACATTGAACAACAACAAATGTATTCATTTCTGTAGACTCTTTTAAATTTTGAAAATGAACTGTATGTTAATAAACACTAACTTTATAATCATTCAAAGTGTGTATACATTTTTTTGGGATACCCTATATTTGAGTCCCTACAATAATCCAGGCTCTGCAAGAAGCTGAAGATAAATCCAGGAACATGGTCCCTACCCAAAACACCTCACAGTCCAGTGGGGAAGCAAGACTGCAGACCGGCAGAGGTCTCACTTGTTTGTTAAGATTGCCTGTCCAGTTCTGTATTTGAGATTATGCAAGGGCTTAAGTGACTAGTCAGCTTTGGGCACAGCTGAATTCCTTTGCTGCTGAGAAATTCAGCTGCCCTTTCGATTAGTGGTTAGTCTCACCCTCTATTCCACTTTTTTGCTGATGTCTCTGTTCTTGTAACCTCTGACTCGCCATCCTTTTCAGAGATCCTCATGTCTTCCAGCAAGAGGTCTTTCATACCCAACTCCCATTAAGCTCCATCACCCATCAGTCTATTAGCCTCTTCCAGGGCTAGTAATTCAAAAATACACTCCTTCCCCAACAAGATGTGTGACCTTTAACATGACTTTTCCCCTGAATTGTTTCCTCTTCATCCGCCATCATAATCTCTGCCCAGCCTTCTTCTCTGCTTGCTATAAAGTTTTTCATTAAAGAGTAAAATTTGGCCCTAGCTGGTTTGGCTCAGTGGATAGAGTGTCGGTCTGTGGACTGAAGGGTCCTGGGTTTGAGTCCAGCCAAGGGCACATGTTCAGCTTGCAGGCTTGATCCCCAGTAGGGGGTGTGCAGGAGGCAGCTGATCAATGATTCTCTCTCATCATTGATGTTTCTATCTCTCCCTCTCCCTTCCTCTCTGAAATCAATAAAAATATATATATTTTAAAAAAGAGTAAAATTTGGCCTGGCCAGCGTGGCTTAGTGGTTAAGCACCAACCTATAAACCAGGAGGTCAGGGTTCTATTCCCGGTCAGGGCACATGCCCAGGTTGTGGGCTCGATCCCCAGTGTGGAGCATGCAAGAGGTAGCTAATCAATGATTCTCTCTCATCATTGATGTTTCTGTCTCTCCCTCTCCCTTCCTCTCTGAAGTTTCTTAATTTTTTTTATTGTTTTATTGCTTAAAGTATCACAAAGGGTATTACATATGTGTCCTTTTTTCCCCCCCGGCCCTTGACAATCCCCTGGCCTCCCCTACCCCCCAGTGTCTTATGTCCATTGGTTATGCTTATATGCATGCATACAAGTCCTTCGGTTGATCTCTTACCCCCTTCCCTCCTGCCCCCCAACCCTCCCCGGCCTTCCCGCTGCAGTTTGACAATCTGTTTGAGGCAGCTCTGCCTCTGTATCTATTATTGTTCAAAAGTTTATAATGGTCTCTATTATCCATGAATGTGTGAGATCATGTGGTATTTTTCCTTCATTGACTGGCTTATTTCACTTAGCATAATGCTCTCCAGTTCCATCCATGCTGTTGCAAATGGTAAGAGTTCCTTCTTTTTTACAGCAGCATAGTATTCCATCGTGTAGATGTACCACAGTTTTCTAATCCATTCATCTACTGATGGGCACTTAGGCTGTTTCCAGATCTTAGCTATGGTGAATTGTGCTGCTATGAACATATGGGTGCATATATCCTTTCTGATTGGTGTTTCTGGTTTCTTGGGATATATTCCTAGAAGTGGGATCACAGGGTCAAATGGGAGTTCCATGTTTTGTTTTTTGAGGAAACTCCATACTGTCTTCCATAGTGGCTGCACCAGTCTGCATTCCCACCAGCAGTGCACAAGTGTTCCTTTTTCTCCACATCCTCTCCAGCACTTGTCGTTTGTTGATTTGTTGATGATAGCCAGTCTGACAGGTGTGAGATGGTACCTCATTGTTGTTTTGATTTGCATCTCTCGGATGATTAGTGACTTTGAGCATGTTTTCATATGTCTCTTGGCTTTCTGAATGTCCTCTTTTGAAAGGTGTCTATTTAGGTCCTTTGCCCATTTTTTGATTGGATTGTTTATCTTCTTTTTGTTAAGTTGTATGAGTTCCCTATAAATTTTGGAGATTAGGCCCTTATCAGATATGACATTGGCAAATATGTTTTCCCACGCAGTGGGTTTTCTTGTTGTTTTGTTGATGGTTTCTTTTGCTGTGCAGAAGCTTTTTATTTTGATGTAGTCCCATTTGTTCATTTTCTCTTTAGTTTCAAGTGCCCAAAAAAATATTTTTTAAAAAAAGGGTAAAATTTGCCTCTTGGAAATGGCCATTGTTTTCATTCATCCGTTCAATAAATACCTATTGAGTGCCTCACTATGTGCCTGTCAGTATTCTAAGTAGTGGGTATACAATAATGAACAAAACGAACCAAAAAAATCTTTCTCACCTTAGCCGGGTGGCTCAATTGGTGGAGTATTTGTCTGCACACCAAAAGGTTGCAAATTTGATTCCTGGTCAGGGCACATACCTAGGTTGTTGGAGGCAACCAATTGATGTTTCTCTCACATTGGTGTTTCTCTCTCTTCCCCCCCCCCCTTCCTCTCTCTCTAAAATCAATTTAAAAATATTCCCAGGTAAGGATTGAAAATTGAAAAAAAAACTTTCTCCTTATGAAGTTTCTAATCTAATGAGATAGATAAACAGTAAAGATAAATAAGACATGTAGTTTAAGATTGCAGTAAATACTAAGGAGACAAACCAGTGAAGTGGCAATAAAACATTGGCAGGGGAGTTTTTATTTTAATTAATTATTTTTGTGGGGGATAGATTTTATTTTAGGTAGGAGAGCCAAGACAGTCCTTGCAGGGAAGGTGACTTTTGAAGAAAGTTCTGAAGAAAAGGAGAGAGAATACTATTCTGATATTTAGGGAAGAGCATTTCAGGGACAGCAAGTGCAAAGGTCCTAGAAATAGCTAGAGCATAGCGTATCCTGGGGAGAGTAAGAGAGGTAGCAGGAGCCAGATTGGAGCCTATCAGGTCATAATAGGGACTTTGGCTTTTACTCCATGTTGAGGATCCTGGTGAAGGTTTTTGAGTAGAAGATCCACACAATCTGATATATATTTTAACAGAATTACTCTGGCTGTTCTATGAAGAGTAGATTTATAAGGGGCAGTGGAATAAGCCGGGAGACCAATTGGGAGCCTATCATAATAATGCAGAGGTGGGGGATGAGAAGTGATTGAATTTTGAATATACAGTTGACCCTGAACAATGCACCGACCCCTGCACAGTTAAAAATCTGCATATAACTTTTTACTCCCTCAACAGTTAAATTGTCCCTCAGTCTCTGCAAGGGATTGGTTCCAGGACCCACCACAGATAGTAAAATCCCCACATCTGTCGCCTATATTGATCAATGTATATAGGTGGCCCTCCAAATCTGTGGACTCCCAAACGTGAGTCAAAAACAGTACGAATATAAACTGAAAAAGTCCATGTATAAGTGGACTTTGCAGTTCAA